TATGGAATAATCTACTTATTTTCAAAATTTCAAGCTCGTGTCATCGTTTTGACTTATAGTCCAAACATCCTTAAGTGGATAAGGAATTGTTTATAGGGTAAACAAATGACTCTGTCTCCAATGTCTAACGATTTATTCATTACACGAAAGCGGAAAAATGATAAGAACGTTTGTCATTAAACAATTGGTAAACATCGTAAACAGTTGAATAAATAATTATCATAATTTTACAAAAAGGACGCATCAGGTTGTAATTTTTGAAACACGCGCATCCATCCACACTGCAACATAACACAATGCACTCACAGTTTCATAATAAATTTCGTAACAGTACTCAAAGTTAAAACTGTCACCGTATCACGAAATTAAGTAATAACATAAGTATACATGTTCATATCTTAACGTTACCGATGGGCATTCAACAATAACCTGTATCTAAGTATAAAACAATCGTGTTATCATGATTAAAATAAAAAAATAACATCCGTTTGATCGTTGCAAACTTTCTGGTTTCACCATAAATCATACCGTTCGGTGATAACAATTATTGTAACAGAAAAGCAGAATAATTTTTTTTTTTATACAACAGTCGTGTCACTATTTCATTCTTCTGATATTAATTGTTTTTCAATTTTCATCTGTTTTTAACAAAAGGCCATTTACACTGAATGATCGAAAATCTTTTAGTACCTGCGACCCGTTTTCTTGTGCTTGTACCCTTTTCTTTCGTGCCCGTGCGACGAGTTCTCCTTGGAGATCGAAGTTCGAGCTTGCGGTGGCACGCAAGCTTCTGTCGTCGAGACAGGCGCTCGTTGCTTTTGTTTCTTAGGCACCACTCCGTTCGTCACTTCCAGTGTCGAACTCACTTCTGAAAGAACTATCAATCCTGTTTTTAATAATATCTATAATCTACTGTAGATTTTACGCAGATGATAGTAAATTTTAATGAAATGCATAGAAAGAGTGTGTAAATAAGTGTGACAATAAACAGCGTATAAAGTGGATGGAGTGTTTAAAATGATCAGTTTATTGAATGTTGATTTTACATGTATCTTAATTCTAATGTGTTATAAAGTAGAATACTGGCTGCAGAGAATTAATTAATCGAAGTACCTGGCTGGGACACGGAACTTCTTTCACCATTGATGAACTCATTAATAATATCGTTGTCAGTAGTCCTCGTGTCTTGGGACTCGGATTCTAAAACAGATCGCATACATTTAAATATTAAAAGATTGTTAAAAATTAAAAATCACGAGGCTCACCTGTATTGGCCACTTTCGCATCGTCTGTCGTGTTCTCGCTTTGCGTCGAATTTGATTTCTGCAATTTTTATGAAAATAAGTATGAAACATTACACGTTGCATTGGTCAGGTACAGATGTACGTTCGTTTAAAAGTATTTTTTTATCTCTATGTAATCGTAATTCATTAGCATGTTTATTGATCAATTTTGTTTAATTCTTGATCAATCGTATAAAGGCGAGCTTTATCTTAATCGAGAAGCTGAAGGATACAGGGAATTGTTTATTGTTATCTGTACTCGTTATCGTAACTGGACAGAGGATAGTGTCTAAAACTTATCTTCTTTATTAAATGCCATTTTTCTAACCAGGGTTGCAGATCTTTTAATCGTCATTTTTCAGAATTAAAATTTAATTATCAATCGGTATGTAATTTAATTAAAGATTTAATCACTAGTCTGCAATCCTGCTTTTATCATCCAAATGGATTTTGGTAGATTTTCCAGCTTGTTGCAATTTATTAAATAATTCAAATCTTTTGATTCTTTACGTAAATTTATTATTAAAAATCAATTAATCATGTGACACATTTATAATTAAAATCGTTAGTTAATTTCACACCCACATGAAACAGAAAATACAGTACAAACACAAGAGTGTTAGATATATTGCATTTACCGTTCTATCTTCATCCTCCGGAGTGACCAGCGAATATTCCTTCTTCTCGTTTTCTTTGAAAACTTCCACGTCCTCTTTGGTAGCCTTGGGACTCAACTCGTCGAAAATGTTTGTGCGATGTCCTGTGAAATTTAGCATCTCCGTTTGAAGCTCTTTTAATTCGTCGGAGGATACTTTATCCTCTTCGCTCTCGCTGCTCGAAGTGCTCGAATCCATGATGGAACATTCGTTTGGCTGCAAGAATAGAAATCTCTTTTGTCTTTCGTCTATTAAAGATTAAAATTCAACGTTTCATTCATAATCAGTCAAATCCGATTAAAAGAATTAAATCTCGATTGAAATAAAGATGTAATCATTTATCTGCAACCCTGTTGCTAATTTCTCGTTCTGTGCTTACATTGAAATCAGGATCCTCCGCGCTGGTGTTCAAAGCGAGTCTATCCAGTTTCGATTCCAGCGTCTCGTTGTCAGACTCCTCGCTGGTCCCATCGTCTGAGCTGATCTGAGAATACTTGCGTTTCATATCGTGATGAATCGGACTTCCCATAGATTCCGTGGTCGATTTCTCGTCCGGAGTCGGCGCCTATTATTGTTCCATTTATTTAAAAACCAATCATACTTTATTAAAAAATTCTTTCTTCTTCTTAAAATATAATTATTCGTCAGGATGACAAAATAATTTATATAGCCTTTATTATTATATTATATATTATAATTTATAATTTTATGAAATTAAAATAGCCTAAATGTTAGTTTTGGGATTATATCTATAGACGAAGAAACGATTACATATAAAAGACAAGACGTACGTAAAGAGAGTAACACTGGGATAGTAAAACAGTTAACAACTCACCGTTTCAAGGTCCACATGACTTATACAAATTTTGGTCGGCGGCGGGGACGGGGACGATTTGGACGTGTCCAGACAAGACAGGGTGGACAGAGTCAACTTGATGGATTTTATCAGGGCCTTCTTAGCCTCGATCATCGATAATCTCTTGTCCTAGATCCATCACCGAGACTATTATCGTGTTAATTTTAATGAACCGTCGTTTATGAACTACCCGAGTTTAAACAACGCTGGCTACGTGGAGTCTTTAGTGAAACACAGACACGATCACGTGAAACATGCTAATAAATTACGTTTACACGGAGTTTATATACATATACTTTTTCACGATATACATATTATATGTGTCACGATTTACATATTCGTATTTAAACACATGATATGTTAAAAGGAGCATTGACATACCTTGGTGGTACTCGTGTTGGGTCTGATGGCCTTCACTGCCCTCAGGTTCATCGCTCTTAATCGTCTTCGATTCCTCTGTATGAATTTCACCTACAGAAAAATTTCGTCCCATTGAAAAACTGTCTTTTATTTTAGATTGCAGATAAATGAGGAATTATATTTTATTAAGGGACATTACCAGTGTCAAACTTTAAGAAATACCTTCAGAAATGTTATACTAGATTTTGAAGGTCGGATCTCAACTAGTTTTCGAATGGCAGCCTTCTAATAGTATTAGTATAATAGTTAAT